TGACATTTCTCAAAGAAGACATTCCATACAGCCAAAAGACACTGGAAAAATGCTCATCATCACTGGCCATCAGAAGAAATGCAAATCAAACCACAATGAGATACTATTCTCACACCAGTTAGAATGGCGATCATTAAAAAGTCAGGAAAACCAACAGGTGCTGAGAGCATGTGGAGAAATAGGAACACTTTTACACCTGTTGGGTGGGATTGTAAACTAGTTTCAACCATTATGGAAAACAGTATGGCATTCCTCAAGGATCTAGAACTAAGATGTTACTATATGACCCAGCCATCCATTACTGGGTATATACCAAAGGATTATAAATCATGCTGCTATAAAGACACATGCCACACGTATGTTATTGCAGCACTATTCACAATAGCAAAGACTTGAATCAACCCAAATGTCCATCAGTGACAGACTGGATTAAGAAAATGTGACACATATAACACCCATGGAATACTATGGCAGCCATAAAAAGGATGAGTTGTGTCCTTTGTAGGACAATGGATGCACTGGCAAATCATCATTCTTAGCAAACTATCACAAGAACAGAAAAACCAAACACCGCATGTCTCACTCATAGGTGGGAACTGAACAACGAGATCACTTGGACTCGGGAAGGGGAACATCACATACTGGGGCCTATCATGGAAGGGGGGAGGGGGGAGGGATTGCATTGGGAGTTATACCTGATATAAACTGACGAATTTGATTGATGAGTGCTGACGAGTTGATGGGTGCAGTACACCAACATAGCACAAATATACATATGTAACAAACCTGCACGTTATGCACATGTACCCTAGAACTTAAAGTATAATAATAATAAAAATAAATAAATAAATTTAAAAATAAATAAATAAATAAAGGGGCTGACATGATAAAAAAAAAAAAGAAAAAAAGAAAAAAAAAAGAAAACAGTGCAGAAGAAGTCAGAACCCCGTTCAGGTCATATCTCTGTTTGCCAGAACCCTGTGATCCACCAGAAGACTTGATAGTTTAAGGCTAGCTCCAAAAACAAATAAAAGAAATTTCCAGCACTTAAACAAAAAAACTTTTTCTAATATCAATTCTGATACATACTCATACTCTGATCATGTTTCTCCATGATGTTTTCAGAACATACGTTTGCTTTATGCTTTGTCTTCTGTTGTATTCTAATAGTGCTCATGCTTTTTTAGAATCATATTTGAAGGTGAGGATAGAAATATTCCAAACTCATGTGGTTCCATGCACACTATTCAAGCTTCCTAAAATAATCTCTGGGTATCCATGACTAAGACCCGGCAGCAAAAAATTTGGTGAATAAGATAACTCAGTAATATTCCTTCTCTCTCTCATCTCTCTATTGCTTTTCTGTTTTTTCAACTGACCATAATTTATGATGAACTTCTCTTTGTAACAAATTCGTGAAAAATTAGTGGCTAGATGGCTTGTTATCATGAATATAATGTTTAACAGGGACATTGTGTCACTTTCACGGATTTTAAATATAGATTAATGATCCTTTATAGAAAAATTATTCTTAGCCTCAGGTAGAAAATATGAAAAGTGTGTTTCATAAATTTTTTTAATACTTACGATTTCTCAATTTCTTCAAATTTTTCAAATTTTTACAACTTACAGACCCACACACATACCCCAAAGGGAAGCATACCGAATCCTTGGGTAATTTTTTCTGCCACTGGAAAACTCCCTCGGCCAGAAAATACTTCTCCCTGATCAATCAGTGCTTCCTTAATTGCTTGGTATCCATGCAACACCACGGTGGGCTTCATGCCAAAATAAACAGTGAGCACAGGGCCATAATCTTTTGATAGCTGCAAAAAGAATAGCAGATGCAAATAAAGTGTAAATTTCAAAAATAAAATGTAGATAGCTTAGGGAAACATTTTTAAACTTGCCAGAAAGATGTTTTAATACTTATCCACCAATTATATAAAATTTAACACTTTAGAATCAATTATTTGATAAGAAAAAAGTATTTGAATAGTAATTATCATCACTTTATTAGTAATAATTCTATTAGTGTTAGTATCAGCTTCAATATTTATTTCTTGTTCAGCCCCTACTATATCACAGGGGCTATATTATACATTTTGTTCCTATTATTATATTAAATTTTTATGCCAAACTAATAATTGTACCAACTTTCTCCTATCTTCTTACAATTACAGTAAATTCTGTGTTTCTTCTTTGGGTTAAGGGAAGTCCGTCTACTTTGCCTCATGTGTAGTCTAATAATTGTCCATCATTGTTCATTCTTGATAAATTTACTTTTAGCATGAGACACTGCCATATTTTTATAATGCATGATAACATAGCAATGTGGTCATACATATTTCCCAGCTTCACTCAAAGCTAGATGCAGCCATGTGACTCAGTTTCCATGAACTCATGTAAGCACAGTGTTGTGATAAAATTTGACATTTGTGCATAACAGACAATTGCTTCCCCTTCATTTCTGCCCCCACCCATGGGTTGAAATAATAGCACAGAGATGCCCCTACTATGACTATGCAAATGAGAAAAACAGTCTAGAGGCAGAAGATACTAGAACTACAAAGATTTAAAAAAAAACAAAACTGGTTCTCTTAATGGCATCATGGAGGAGAGGCAAGCTGACAGCGAGCACCTAGAGTTTCTTGTGTGAGATAGAAATAATCTTCTATCTTCTTTCAGCATCATCTTTCTGTAATATCAGCTTATGTGGTATCCTAAATGATATAGGACTTACAATATTTCAACTTTTCTATTGTAGAACTTTTTTTGCCGACCTAAAATTTCATTCTACAAACTATAGTGACCTTTTCACAAGGAAGATGTTAACCTGACTGTCCTTTAAGCATGTTAATAGTATCACATTGCTCTTTTTTTCCTTCCTTTTTTTTTGAGACGGAGTTTCACTCTTATTGCCCAGGCTAGACTGCAATGGTAGGATCTCTGCTCACCACAACCTCCACCGCCCGAGTTCAAGCGATTCTCCTGTCTCAGTCTCCCAAGTAGCTGGGATTACAGGCATGTGCCACCATGCCCTGCTAATTTTTTACTGTTATTGGAGACGGGGTTTCTCCATGTTGGTCAGGCTGGTCTCGAACTCCTGACCTCAGGTGATCCTCCTGCCTCCACTTCCCAAAGTGCTGGGATTACAGGTGTGAGCCACCAGGCTCGGCCCATATTGATCTTATGATAAAAACAAGTGTTTTTTACATCCATGTACGGCCTGCATATCTTGTCCCCTGCTTCCCTCTCTACTCTCAGCTTGTACCATATTCTTACTTACTCTCTGAACTACAAACACTTTTGTCCTCTTTTCAGGGTCTTAGGGAGAGAAGTGTAAACCAAAACTAAAATTCAAAGCACCCCTCTCACCGCCAGCTGGCCCCACTCCCTTACCACCAGCAATTTAAACAGACTTCCTCCTCTAGGTCAGGACCCTTCAAATTTAACCTGAAAAACTGATTCATGCCATCATGGGAAAGGGGCATTGAACATGCCTCATTATGCCCTCTTCCCTTTTGGAATTCAGCAAAAGCTGACCAACATTTAACATTAACACAGACCTTAACTCTGATAAGAAACAATTATAAACTATTCTCTCTGAAGACTGCTGCCTGGAAGCTTCATCTGCATGATAAAACCTTGGTCCCCACAACTCTTATCATAACCCAGACATTCCTCTCTATTAACAATAACTCTTTCAACCAATCGTCAATCACAAAATTTTAAAATCTGGATATCATGGAAGCAACCCCTCTCCCACTGCTTCGAGTTGTCCCACCTTTCTGGGCCAAACCAATGTATATCTTAAATGTATTGACAGGAGTCTCACGTGTACATACTCAAACGAATAAATGTATAAAACCAAACTGTGCCCTGACCACCATGGGCTCATATTCTCGGGGTCTCCTGACAGCTGTATCGTGGGTCATAGTCACTCACATTTGCGCAGAATAAATCTCTTCAAGTATTTTGCAGTTTGACTCTTTTCATCAACAGAAGCAATTCTCCCCCAGATTGAAAACATGTGAAATTGGGTTTTGTTGATATTTGATATGTTTAATTCCTAATCATTCTTACGATTATCAGCTCCAACTTCAATTACTCAGAGAATCCTTTGCTAAATGCCTGAATGCTGCTCTAACTGGTTAGTCCCTTGAAATTACATGGTCTCTTTCTACCATGTCCCTGTTACACAGTTTGTAATCATGCCTTTACTTGCATTGTTGTTTCATAAATATATTCCTATCCTCTAAACTGTAAGTTCCTTAATGATAGGGTCACTTTAAATTTTCTTGCGCCATTGAAACTCACATGCACCATGTAAGGAGGTATTTAATTACTTCTAGAAAATGTGGTGTACTTAAGTAACCTGTGCAAAATCTTTCTTATTTACATCTTCAAGAAATGGAAATTAAAGCGAAGAGAGGTTTTAATCCTGCTTAAATTTGTGAATTTAAATAATCAATAGATGAGCTAGGGTGCTGACACAATCTCTTTAAATTCAAAGCCAAGGCATAGGAAGAATGAGCTTCCAGAAGCAGTATTCTAATAACTGGCTTTCTTAAGAGAAAGACAGATTCCAGATCATTCTTCAGGCTTTAGAGAGCAACTGCTATGTAAACAACTTGCAGTAGAGAAGTTACTGACTCATTTATTGAGAATTACAGTATGAAATATGAAAGATCTGAACCCTTAGTAATTCCCTTGATTTCAATTCATATATGCTTTATGAAAACGTGGTGCTGTGACACTGTAAATCGGTGCTTATTTAAAAAACTAAAAGCTGTTCCATTTTCACTAGCATTTACCAAAGAAGAGTTAAAGCAACCTGGATTACAATACCAACAAAGAATTTCTGCTCCTGGCAATGTCAACAATCATAACATGGATCAATGATCTTGGCAATGTTCCACTGGTGGCAGGAATGACTCACATCTTGAGCAACTACTGCCGTGTTGAACTGCTGATAAACTTTGACGTCAATAAGGAATTCTGAAAAACATTTTCTTCACAAACAACTGGGCTCTCAACAATATACAATACAAGAAAACTTTGTATATGTTATATCTGATTCATATATGCAAATTCACTCTTGTACTAATGACTGATGACGCATTATTTGTTTAATCTACCAATGAAGAAATCTGACAATTTATATAATTGAAACGAGTTCCTATATAAATGGAAGCCCCCATATTCCTTGCATAAAATGAATTTCTCTTCAAAGGTTTAGCCTGTTAACTTCCTTGTTCTTTGTTCTCAAACTCAACTTTCTTGCTCTCCATGCCTCCTTGCCCGTAGTTACTTTCCTGTCAGCTCTAATCAATAACTCACCTCTGTTTACTTAGTTACCCACTCTGCACCCATTCCACCCTTTGAAACTTCATGGCCCACCACTGTAATTCACATCTCCCTTCCCTTCCTTATTTAAGAAAATATTCACAAATAGCTAATCAGGTCAGCTGAGATTGTGTGGTCTGACCGTAGTCCATGGGGTGAGTGACACAGAAGTAGAGACTACATGGTAGAGATAAAACCTCCTTCTCTCCTTTGTTCACTATACCCTTGTGATCGTGATTGATGCAGGCAGCACCCCTCTGAAGAAGTAAATTGCCTTGCTGAGAAAACTTTTGCCTGAGTGCTAGTTTCACTTTGTGGCACCAAGCATTTATCTCCAACATTTCTCTTAGGTGATACAGTCTATAATTGCTTTCCAGTTGAAACATCCGTTCTGGAGTAAACACTTATTTGCCTCAAACTTGCTGATTTCTTCATTTCTTTTGGATGTACCGATTGCATGTTCTTCTATATGTCTACATTATAAAGGCATATCTGGGTGTCTAATAGACACATCTCTATAAAGGCATCTCTTTAAAACTTGGTATCTGGGGACATATATTCCTGAGTTATGGGGATATCTGACTTACTCACTGCAGAAAACTATAGGAAAATTAGTCATACTTACCATGCTTATGGATTTGCTGATGTTCTTAGTATTTAACTGTAGAATATTTCCAAAAATGGGGAGAGGAGTTGGGCCAGGTGGAAGCTTCCCTTTGGCATAGCTTCGGTTCCACAGAGAAAGAAGAATCAGACAAGAAAGACAAATCACCAGGATGATGAAGAGATCCATTGATGGGCTCTTTGAAAACGCAGTTGAAAGCTAAGAATCTAAAGATTTTGTAAACCAAAGGGCAAGCTCCTCACCAATTATGTACTAAGACTTTGAACTTTGGATGATTGATTTTTTTTATCTTTAGTACACCTTGAACTGCTGGTAGAAGTAAAAACAAAAATTAATTTAATATTGATTAGTTCTTAAGTTTAACCTAAAATTGTAACTAAATGATAACCCTCACTTCTGTAAAAGCAAGAAATAATAAAATCAAAATTAATAGAAAGAAGAAAATAATAAACCTCAGCACAGAAATAAATGCAATGGAGACTGAGAAGCAATTCAAAACATAAAAAAAAAGAATTGGTATTTGAAAAGAAAAAAGAAAATTGATGAACTTTTAGCAAGAATACTGAAGTAAAAAGTGAGAAGACTCAAATAAAATCAGAAATAAAAAAGAGACATTCATATAATATTAAAGAAATACAAAGGATCATAAGAAGCTGTTATAAACAACTATATGTAACTAAATTTAATAAAAGAATAATTGGATAAATTTCCAGAGACATACAACCTTCTAATATTAAATTATGAGGAAATAGAAAATATAACAGATAAATATAGAGAGAGAAAATTAAATCAGTACAGAAAGCTATTGCATCAAAAGAAAGCCCAGAATATGATAGCTTAACTACAGAATTCTGCCAAACATTTAAAGAAGAATTAATATTAATTCCTCTCAAACTATTCTAGAATTAAAAGAAAAAATATTTCCAAACTAATTTTGCAAGGTTAGCATAACCTGATTCCAAAACCAAACAAGAACACACACATACACACAAACTACAGACCAATATATCTAATAAATGTCAATATAAAACTCCTTAAAAGACACTAGCAAAGCAAATTCGAGAACACACTGAAAAGAATATTCACTATGATCAAGTTGGATTCATGCCAGATATGCCACAATGGCTTATCATAGGGGAAAAAATATGATACATCATATTGAAAGAAAGAAACACTTATTAAAATTAAAATTAGAAAAAGACATATTAAAAGAAAGAAAGAAAGATTGCCCTAGCCAGAACTTCCAATACTATGATGAATAGGAGTGGTGAGAGAGGGCATCTTTTCTTGTCTCAGTTTTCAAAGGCAATGCTACAAGTTTTTGCCCATTCAGTATGCTATTGGCTGTGTGTTTGTAATAATCAGCTCTTATTATTTTGAGATATGCTCCATCAATACCTAGTTTATTGAGAATTTATAGCATGAAGGTTTGTTGATTTTGTCAAAGGACTTTTCTGCATCTATTGAGATAACCATGTGGTTTTTGTCACTGGTTCTGTTTATGTGATGGATTACGTTTACTGATTTGTATATGTTGAACCAGCCTTGCATCCCAGGGATGAAGCCAACTTGATCGTGGAGGATAAGCTTTTTGATGTGCTGCTGGATTCAGTTTGCCAGTATTTTATTGAGGATTTTTACTTCAATGTTTATCAGGGATATTGGCCTATAATTCTTATTTTTTTGTTGTGTCTCTGCCAGGCTCAGGTATCAGGATGACATTGGCCTCATAAAATGAGTTAGGGAAGATTCCCTCTTTTTCTATTGATTGGAATAGTTTCAGAAGGAATGGTGCCAGCTCCTCTTTGTACCTCTGGTAGAATTCGGCTGTGAATCCATCTGATCCTGGACTTTTTCTGGTTGGTAGGCAACTAATTATTGCCTCAATTTTGGAACCTGCTATTGGTCTATTCAAAGATTCGACTCCGGGGGTGTGCCCAAGATGGTCAAATAGGAAGAGCTCCAGCCTCCAGCTCCCAGAGTGAGCGACACAGAAGACGAGTGATTTCTGCATTTTCAACTGAGGTACCAGGTTCATCTCACTGGGGCATGTGGGACAGTTGGTGCTGGTCCGCAGGTGCAGCCCAACCAGTGAGAGCTGAAGGAGGGCAAGGCATCGCCTCACCTGGGAAGCACAAGGGGGAAGGGTTTTCCTTTTCCTAGCCAAAGGAAATTGAGACACACAACAGCTGGAAAATTGGGTAACTCCCACAATAATATTGCACATAACCAAGGCTCTTAGCAAATGGCACACCAGGAGATTATATCCCACACCTGGTGCGGAGAGTCCAACACCCACGGAGCCTCCCTCAATGCTGGCACAGCAGTCTGAGATCTAACTGCAAGGTGCCGGTGAGTGGGTGAGGGGTGCTGCCATTGCTGAGGCTTAAGCAGGTAAACAAAGTGGCCTGTAAGCTCGAATTGCATGGAGCCCACCACAGCTCAAGGAGGCCGGCCTGCCTCTGTAGACTCCACCTCTGGGGACAGGGCATAGCTAAGCAAAAAGCAGCAGAAACCTCAGCAGAGGTAAAGGTCCCTGTCTGATAGTTTTGAAGATAGCAGTAGATCTCACAGCACGGAGGCTGAGATCTGAGAACGGACAGACTGCCTGCTAAGGTGGGTCCCTGACTCCTTAGTAGACTAGCTGGGAGACATCCACCACTAGGTGCAGACTGAACCTCACACCTCACACAGCTGGGTACACCCTTGAAACGAACCTTCCACAGCAAGAATCAGACAGCAACACTTGCTGTTCAGCAATATTCTATCTTCTGCAGCCTCTGTTGCTGATACCCAGGCAAACAGAGTCTGGAGTGGACCTCAAGCAAGCTCCAACAGACCTGCAGCTGAGGGTCCTGAGTGTTAGAAGGAAAACTAACAAACAGAAAGGACACCCACACCAAAACCCCATCATATGTCACCATCATCAAAGACCAAAGTCAGATAAAACCACAAAGATGGAGAAGAAGCAGTGAATAAAAGCTGGAAATTCCAACAATCAGAAAACATCTCCTCCTCCAAAGGAATGCAGCTCATCACTAGCAATGGAACAAAGCTGGATGGAGAATGACTTTGATGAGTTGAGAGAAGAAGGCTTCAGTCAATTAAACTTCTCAGAGCTAAACGAGGAACTACGTAACCAGCACAACGAAACCAAAAACCTTAAAGAAAGATTTGACAAATGGCTAACTAGAATAGCCAATGTAGAGAAGTCCTTAAAAGAACTGATAGAGATGAAAATCACAATACGAGAACTACATGACAAATGCACAAGCTTCAGTAACCGACTCGATCAACTGGAAGAAAGAGTGTCAGCGATACAAGATCAAATGAATGAAATGAAGTGAGAAGTGTAGGGAAAACAGTAAAAAGAAATGAACAAAGTCTCTAAGAAATATGGGATTATATGAAAAGACCAAACCTACATCTGATTGGTGTGCCTGAAAGTGACAGAGAAAATGGAACCAAGGTGGAAAACACTCTTCAGGATATCATCCAGGAGAACTTCCCCAACCCAGTAAGGCAGGCCAACATTCAAATTCAGGAAATACAGAGAACACCACAAAGATACTACTCGAGAAGAGCAACTCCAAGACACGTAACTGTCAGATTCACCAAAGTTGAAATGAAGGAAAAAATGTTAAGGGCAGCCAGAGAGAAAGGTCAGGTTACCCACAAAGGGAAGCCCATCATACTAACAGCGGATCTCTCAGCAAAAACTCTCCAAGCCAGAAGAGAGTAGGGGCCAATATTCAAAATTCTTAAAGAAAAGAATTTTCAACCCAGAATTTCATATCCAGCCAAACTAAGTTTCATAAGGGAAGGCAAAATAAAATCCTTTAGAGACAAGCAAATGCTTAGAGATTTTGTCACCACCAAGCCTGCCCTACAAGAGATCCTGAAGGAAGCACTAAACATGGAAAGGAAAAACAGGTACCAGCCATTGCAAAAACATTTCAAAATGTAAAGTCCATTGATGCTAGGAAGAAACTGCATCAATTAACGAGCAAAATAACCAGCTAATATCATAATGACAGGATCAAGTTCACACTTAACAATATTAACCTTAAATGTAAATGGAATAAATGGTCCAATTAAAAGACACAGACTGGCAAATTGGATAAAGAGTCAAGACCCATCAGTTTGCTGTATTCAGGAGACCCATCTCACATGCAGAGACACACATAGGCTCAAAAGAAAGGGATGGAGGAAGATCTACCAAGCAAATGGAAAACAAAAAAAAGCAGGGGTTGCAATACTAGTCTCTGCTAAAACAGCCTTTAAACCATCAAAGATCAAAAGAGACAAAGAAGGCCATTACATAATGGTAAAGGGATCAATCATCAGGAAGAGCTAACTATGCTAAATAGATATGCACCCAATACAGGAGCACCCAGATTCATAAAGCATGTCCTTAGAGATTAACAAAGAGACTTAGACTCCCATGCAATAACAATGGGAAATTTTAACACCCCACTGTCAACATTAGACAGATTAACGAGACAGAAAGATAACAAGGATATCCAGGAATTGAACTCAACTCTGTACCAAGCGGACCTAATAGACATCTACAGAACTCTCCACCCACAAAGCAACCAGAAATTATATTAATTAGATCCAATATCCCTGATGAACATCAATGCAAACATCCTCAATAAAATACTGGCAAACCAAATTCAGCAGCACATCAAAAAGCTTATCCAACATCATCAAGTGGGTTTCATCCCTGGGTTGCAAGGCTGGTTCAACATATGCAAATTAATAATGTAATCCAGCATATAAACAGAACCAAAGACAAAAACCACATGATTATTGCAATAGATGCAGAAAAGGCCTTTGACAAAATCAACAGCTCTTCATGCTAAAAACTCTCAACAAACTAGGTATTGATGGGACATATTTCAAAATAATAAGAGCTATTTATGACAAACCCACAGCCAATATCATACTGAATGGGCAAAAACTGGAAGCATTCCCTTTGAAAACTGGCACAAGACAGGGATGCCCTCTCTCACCTATTCAACATAGTGGTGGGAGTTCTGGCTAGGGCAATCAGGCAAGAGAAAGAAATAAAGGGTATTCAGTTAGGGAAAGAAGAAGTCAAATTGTCCCTGTTTGCAGATGACATGATTGTATATTTAGAAAACCCCATCGTCTCAGCCCAAAATCTCATTAAGCTGATAAACAACTTCAGCAAAGTCTAAGGATACAAACTCAATGTGCAAAAATCACAAGCATTCTTATACACCAATAACAGACAAACAGAGAGCCAAATCATGAATGAACTCCCATTCACAATAGCATTAAAGAG